CCCCCCCCCACCATCTCTCTACACACACACCGCTGCCCCCACCTGATCGTCTGACATGCACACGGGCACAAAACAGGAGTGCCACGTGCATTGCAGACCTGTATAGATGCTGTCAGGTCCAGAGAGAGGAGGGCATTCCCACCCCCCCCAGGGGGGCTTCCCCTGCACAGAACCAGCCCTGGGGGTCAGCAGGATCTGTGAGAGGGTGTGAACGTGTGTGCATACGTCAGTGTGAGTGCAAGCGTGTGTGCACGGAAATGTGTGTGGTGAGCATGTGTCCCTGTGTGTATGAATCAACGTGTGAGCATCTCTGTGTGTGTGACTGTGTGCGCGTGCGTGTGCCCGTGTGTTTCCAAACGTGGGCGCGTGTGCACGTGTGTGCAGGAGTCAGACACCCCATGACCTGCACCTTTTCCTGTCCGGGCAAAGCCACATGTGAGCACGCACATGGCCCCGGGCTTAAGGTTGAGGGCAGTGTGAAACTGTAGACAGGCATCCGTGTAGGTATCGTGTGTATGTTGTAGAAACAAAACACGAGGTCTGAAACCCTCCAAACCCATTTGGAGCCACGGCTCTGGGGTCCAGGAGAGAATCTGACGGGGCTCCGGGGCCACTGGTCAGCCCACTGGGTTCTGGCAGGAACCTCGCCGCGTGCCCACAGGCCCACCCACCTCAGAGGAACACAGGGTGGGTGGGGGCCCGGCAGCTGTCCAGCCCACCAGGTTTCGCGTCCTTTCTGCTTTGCAGGGCAAAACAGCTGCGTCCCCCTGAGCGACCCCTTTGCCGGCGAGAGCCTGGATGCCTCCACCTCGGTGCAGCGCCTCGTCTGTGAGTCCTGGGCCCGAGTCACGCCCGTCCCTTCCCCAGTCTCCAGGTGAGACTGTCCTGTGAAGGGGGACCTCCAGGCAGACAGGACTCTGAAGCGCTCACCTGGATCTGCCTTGGGGGGGCCGGTCCGCGTCCCCGCCCGCACCCTGAGCCCCCGCTCCTGGCCGCCCTCCCCCGAGCTGTCATGGTGGTCTTGCCCCTGAGCCTCGTCCTTGTCGTGTGCGGCTGGATCTGCGGCCTCTTCGGTTCCCTGGCACAGAGCGTCCTTCTGCTGCTCTCCGCCGGCTGCTACTTCTTGCTGGGAGGTGAGTCCTGGGGGCCATGGGTCCTGGGAGGGGGTGCCTCCTCTCCTGTCACCCTTTCCCCGCTCCCATCAGTTGTGCTGAGCCTGGGCCCACCCTGGGGATCCAGCAGCAGCAGGCAAAGACACCTTGGGTGGCAGCAGCCTTGACAGGGGCAGGGGCAGGGGCCTTTATAGTAGGGACGGGGGCAGGGGTTCTGGCTGTGGGCCTAGATCGAGGGACGGAGGAGCCCCGAGGTTGAGCTTCTAGGCATGGGAGGCATGAGACTCCCCGAGGCGACCCCACGACCTGCCCTACTAGACCCGCAGGAAGGGCATGGGCTGACCCCTACCTTTTCTCCTTCCCAGACTGGCCTGGTAGGAGGAGGGAGACTGGGCAGGGCCAGGCATTAAGACAGGTGAAAAGGGGCCTCACAGTCCTTGGCAGTGACCCCAGCCTAGCCCAGACGATGACTGGTGACAGTTCATCAGCTGACATTCATCTAGACTCTGCTGGGCACCGGGCCAGGCACTCCCGCAGGGGTGCAGCCGAGGCCTCTCTGTGGTCCCAGCCTCCAGCTGAGACGGTCAAGGATTCACCAAGGTCAGCAGGAAGCTTCACTGCTTTTTGGCGCCGTCTGCCCCTGGCAGCCAGCCGGTGCCCCCAGAAGCCCAAGGCTGGAGGTCACTGACGGTGGGCTGGGGCTCCTCGGGGTCAGTCCTCAGTGGCCTGTGCTGTCGGGGGTGAGGTCTGAGCCGAGTCTGGCATCCGGGCCAGCTCTACTGTCAGGGCCATGGCACTTGAGACCCAGACCACGTGGGCCTGGGGCTCCCTCTCGGGCAGGCCCGCCTCCTGCCTCCTCCCCAGGGGATGCTGTGCCCTGTGGGAGGCCTTGGACAAGACGGACTCGGCGGGCTTGCCTGGAGCCAAGAGACTGGGGGACCAGGAACCTGGGCGCGAATGTGCTTTAGAGAACGAAAGCGGGAGAAATCAGCTGTGGCCTGACCCCAGAGACCGGCTGTGTGGGCCCAGATCCAATCAAGAGGACCTTGGGAAGCCAGTGAGAGGAGTAAGAACTGTATCCGGGAAACCTTGGCGTTAGGCTCTCAGAACCAGGGCGCTGGCCAGTGGGTGGAGGGAGAACCTGGTTCAAAGAACAACACCTCACGTGCTCCCCTCGCCCAGGGTCCAGTCTGGCTGCACCACTGCTCTCCTTGTGGGGGGGGGGGGGGGGGGGACTCCTTGGAAACAGGTCAGCTGACATCATTGACAGGAGCCCATCCACGTGGCAGACACACTAGCTGTAGGGGCTCAGGGACAGGAATGTCACCCTGAGGGGATCTGTCTGAGGCCAGTTTGCCTCACGCCTACCCCCACCATCAGCGCTATAAGAGGAGGAGGGACAGAGGGGTCGGGGGCGAACACCCAGCCGGACGGGGTGCCCCCCCACCCCCGAGACAGGAGCATGAGCTCTCCTGCCCAGCTTGAGGCTCCGTTGCCGGCCAGGGGTGGAGGTCAGCGGCTCAGAGAGTGGTCTGGCAGGAGCTGGAGCTGCTGTCCCTGTCCCCGGGCCAGGGGACGGGGTGGGGGGGGTTGTTCCAGGTGGGGAGTCAGGCTCCAGAGCTTACACCGAGTCCCCTCCTCTGCCGGGCTGGACGGAGGCAGCCAGTGGGCAGCCTGGGCGGCCTGGTCGGGAGCTCTGAGCGCCACAGGCTGTGACGGACACCTCTGTTTTGGGGACTCCCTCTGCGTGAGAGCTCCCGCGGGAGCCTGAGAGCGGCCATTCACCAGCCCTGCTGCGGGGTGGTGACCCCAGTTCCAGGTCCCCCTCCAGGGGGCTTCACGTCCTTCCCCAAATTGAATTCGAAACTTGTGCTGCGGCTCTGCCCAGCCCTAGTCTGGTGGCCGTGAGTCCTGCCTTTCTCCTTCCCATCTTTGGTCAAGTGAGGGATCACAGAGGGCTGGGACAGAGTCAGGCAATATGGGGACCCCAGGACTACGCCCCTTCTCTGAGCCCCAGTGAGATCCAGATCAGCTCCGGCCAGCCTCCTGCCCTTGGCTGGGCAGAGTCCAGAGGGAACCCTGTGCCAGGAAGTGCCTGTGGAGGGCATCAGGACCCCCCCCCAGTGTCCCCCCAGCCTCCCTTACTCCCTGCCCCGCTCAATTAAATCCCCGGGCGCCCCTGCCCGGCTGGCTTCCCTCT